CCGACGCTGACGCCTGCTGTATATTTGGAGTTTGCATGCTCTGCCTGTAGTCTGGTGGATTTTTCTCGGGATCCTCCGGGTTTTCCTTCCACGTTTAGAAACAAACATTTTAGAGTATTTGGCTGCTATAAATTTTCACGTGATAAGCCACTTCAATTGAGCTATCATTTATGTCCAGGTCACCTCCGAAAAAATAAAGAAATAGTTTACATATTCTTGGTTCTTTCGGTAAAGTCACGTTGAAGGGAAACAATAAAATAATAAAATATATATAACAATAAAATTCTCACGACGTTTCGACTGCAACACAAGCAGTCATCATCAGGTGTGAAAACCAACGGCAAGAACATTTGAAAGAAGTGGAGGAAAATGTTTTCGTCTCCCCCCTCCTCTTTTCCGAACATAGATGGACTCGTCCATCTAAACAAACTGTCAAATCGCTATCCGTGGTGCTAACGTTTAAAAATAAATAAATACAAACCGCCACTTCTTTCAAATGTTCTTGCCGTTGGTTTTCACACCTGATGATGACTGCTCGTATTGCAGTCGAAACGTCGTGATAATTTTATTGTTTCATATATATTTTATTATTTTTTTGTTTCCCTTCGACGTGACTTTACCAAAAGAACCAAGAATGTGAATCGCTGCAGTCACGAAAGCTTTTAAATCAAAATAGTTTACAGTTTTAGTTTATGGTTTTATAGTTTATGATGATGGTGGTGGATTGATGACGAAGTATGCTGATCATGATGACTATGATGATAACAACCGGTTATCTTGCCATTGCTGTGCAGCCCCTGACTGAGCACTGGCACAGTCGTTTTTGTGCTCAAAGTGACCGCGTGGACAATAAGAAATTGCGCCCGAGAGGATGACTGCCAGGCTGCTGTGGCGATGACACGTTAACTCCCTCGCCTGGTATGCAGGGGGTTGTCCGTTCGATGCAGACCCTTGACGCCTGTTGTATATTTGGAGCTTGCATGTTCTCTCTCTCTCCCCGTGGTAGCGTGGATTGTTTGTGGGCAGGTTGCTAAGAGATGTGTAGCTCAGTGGGCCTTGCCTGGTAAAAAATAAAATATATAGTTTTAGTTTATATTCACTTTCAGGAGGGAGATTGCAGCTTTCCGGGATTGATGAGAAATTATGTGAGGGAGGCCTTAATCCAGCAATGGATAAGACGATGTTTGACAGTGATGAACATGATGCAGATGGTTGAAGAGCTGATGATGATGAAAAGTACAAACGTAGCAAGAAGGCTGAAGAATACGATTTGGGGGTGACACTGCCAACATGACACTGGGGTTGTGCCCGAAGGTTCGACACGGAACGCTACGCTCCACCACAGCTCTGCGCACCTTCCACGCCTTCCTTCCTTCCTGTTATCCGCATGTATTTGTGGACGAGAGAGAAGTCGAGCAGGAAATTACTCCTATTTTCCGTGTCCATCAAAGCGCCATTGAGTTTACCCAGAAGCGGTCCCTGCAAACGCTGACGACGTGAGAGGAGGTACCTGCAGCTGACGGCAAAATTAGTTTCTCTTTCAATTCATCCGATGGCGCTTGCGAAGGAGGAGGCTTTCAACTGGGCGGAGGACCGATGTGAATGTCACAGTAGATTGATACAAACGTGGTTTGATGAATGTGTTGTTGTGAGCCAAAGTATCGAGTTTAATCCATGAATCAATGCATTCTTACACCCCGAAGAAGGATGGTTAATTACTTGTTAAATGCAGGATACGGTAATCGAGATTTAAAGGTTTTCACAGCCAGCGAAGTTGATGTCCATCGCTCCTCTTCTCTGAGACACACCTGACACCCAAGATCTACCCTTGCAGTATCCCACCCACCCAATTGTGTTGATTTTTTTTGTTTTGTCGTTTTAGCGACTCAGCTCACTCACGAATTCTCTGGCCTCACGAATTCTCACCTTGGTTTGGGGTGCCATGGTGGCGAGATGTTAACAACCTCGTCTGGTATTCATGAGGTCGTGGGTTCGATCCCGACCCTGACGCCTGCTGCTGTATATTTGGAGTTCGTGTGTCTCTCTCCCTGTGGTCGCATGGATTTTTCTCCGGGTCCTCTGGGTTTTCCCCTACAAATTTAGAATAAACGTGCGTCTAGAGTATTTCGCTGCTGTACATTTCCATGTGATAAGCCATTTCGCTGAGCTATCATTCGTGATAGCCAGGTCGCTTCTAAAAAAGAGCCATACAGCTCAGTGGGCCTTACCTGGTAAAATAAAAAAAAATGTATATAGTTAATCGTTTTTGTTCATGGTTTTATAAGTGATGATAATGATGGTGGATTGATGACGAAAAAGCTGATGATGATCGTTGAGTTTTGAGTTTAAAACCATTTCGACCTTGAACCAGTCTCTGCGTGGCCGCTCCAGGACCCCCGTAGGGGGATTCCCCCCCCCCCCCTCCACCGTGCACGTTCCCAGCCAGTGCAACTTCATCGTCTGCAACAGTTGCCTCCAATAAGTCTTTTCGCCCTGTGTTGCCATCACCGCCGATGAAAGGTTGCCGCGATCGGGCCCCGATCCCTTGACGGGACTCAGAACTATGTGAAGGTGAGCATGAATGACTTGTTGTACTGTACTTTCTTGTATGTGTGTTCCCACGGCTTAGGTCAACGCTTTTTCGACAACCCGCACTGAGCAACGTGGCGAAGTTAATTAAATTACCCCCTCCCACGACCCACGCGGTGCGCGAAGGCCCTCATCCAGCAGTGGAATGACAAAAGCGCTGTACGTGTGTACATGCACATTTTGCCATTGAAAACCTGCCTCCGTCTGCATGCATGTTTCCTCCTCTGGCTAACCAATGAAAGTCTAGTCTTATGACCCGAGCAGCAACAGACATTTTTGCCGGCTGATATAGCTGCCTCTTAACATTGATGTTCCCCCCTTAACATTGCAGTTCACCTCTGTACTCTTTAAAATTGGTGTATTACCTCCATCAGTAAAGCGGGTCTGCAAAAAAATACTTCTCTTGACCTCACAGCCCCTGGCAATTATGCACATTACTGCTGAATAACACTGAGTGCTCCCATGAAGATGCACGATGCCTGTGCGGAACCACCGCTGTCCATCTCGTTTTTTGTTTATTTTTTTCACCCTGAAGTCCGCAGTGCCCAGGCTCCGGTACCTTGAAACCGCCGGAAGCTGGAATGGGATCTAATCTCACAGCTGGCATTGTCTGGGGAGGTTGGTTTGGGTGTTTCTTTTAAAGTGCAGACCACCGAGCTAGAACGAACCAATATCTTGTGACCTGTGGTTAAACCGGGTTTTCAAGTGGAGCGAGTTTGATGGTCTCCGATTGGACACCAAATGACTGCCCCAATGTATCATGTTAAATTTGCTTGAGCATTTTAGGCTAAATTCCACGTCCCTGAGAATTAAAAGTACGGAGTGTTTGGAAAAGATGGACCCGATTTCAAAGCAGTACTGCTTTAAAATCGGGTCCATCTATTTTTCCTCTCATGTAGTAGGGTTTATGTAAAATGTTGCCTGTAATGAGACCACTTTGAATATTGTTCTAATAATAATATTGGGTCACTAAAATTTGCATATACAGATGACCTTGCCCTGGCAACGCAATGAGCCACTGTCAACGACATGGCATCCACTCTGAACCAAGACCTAACCACCATGGGAGTATGTTTGTGGAAATGGAAGCTCAGGCCATATCCCCACAAAACATCGGTTCCTGCATTTCATCTTGACCATAGCAACACTCAGAACCTTCTGCGTCATCACTGTGCGACACGAACCCCACTCCAACCTGTCTCGGAGTGCACCTGCAACGTACGCTAACCTCCGACGACCACGTGAAAAATGCAGCCACAGAGACCAAAAACAAGAGTCAACCTGGTCCAGAAACTTCTCAGCACAAGCTTGGGGCGCATCGGCCCCACTGCTAAAGACATCATCGATGGCCTTTGTGTACTCTGTAGCCGAGCACTCTGCACCGGTGTGGACTAGAAGTAAGTCACCACTCGACTTGTTGACGTCCAACTGAACACTGTGATGCTGTGCATCGCTGGAACCCTCAAGTCGTCAACCCCAACACCCGGGCTGCCCGTGCGGTCACAAATCTCTCCCCCCCCCACCCACCCATCTTCCACGACGCTGCAATACTCCGGTGAGTCTTGCGAATCTGGGGGAAACAGTCGCCTTCCCATTCATCAGGACCTCAATAGCGACCCTCGTCATCGCTTGAAGTGACGCGAGCCCCCTTTGGCCCCACGCGCTTAACCCAAAACAATGCGAAATCAACTCCAATGAAGCTTGGAAAGCTGAATAGAGTTCATAAGGACTCGCAAACAAACACCTTGTTGTGAAACATCCAACGCGGAAAGATACCTGGTTTTGATCTTCCACGAAGCTCATGGTCCACCCTAAACGGCATCCACTGCACAAACCGTGGCAGCAGATGCGGATACCTGATCCACAAATGTAAAATGAACAACTCTTCAGTGCGACTGCGTGTCATCCAGAACAGACCGTACAACGTATAACGATGCATTGCCCCGATTCACAAATACGTCGGAGACATCGCGACGATGATACACTCCACCGTTACTGAAGTGGTTGTCTGGCTTGACCACCTGAATGTTTAAATTGCAGTTGTTGCTCTGCATCTACATAATCAGCCATATGAAAGAAGAAGGATATTGTTCTGGAGCAGTCCAGGGCACGGTGCTCTATAATATTTCTGAATGGATGCTCTATGCCGTTAAACAATGTTGGTAGCACAGTTGGAATAAATTGGAAGTGCCGTTTTTTTTGTAAACAGAAAACTTGCATCATCTGCTTGCGTCTCGTCTCCCCAGGTTTCAATAATGACTGTGTTCCCTACAGCCTATCCTTCCCATGGCTCTTCGTACAAATTGAGCATGACAGTGAACATTAGGGCATTTAACAATCACAATACTTGCTGACAGAATAAGCTGATTGCAGGCAAAGCAATATATATACAGGCACATACTTAAATTTAGATTTAAAGCTTTCGTAACTGCAGGGATTCATATTCTTGGTTCTTTCGGTAAAGGCACATACTTGTCAATATAACCCAATTCAGCTCCTGAGGATGTTTGCAGGCTTGAGTAAGAATAGTGGGTGACCACCGTGCTTGCATAACAGGTTTTATAGCCTGCGGGGGTGGGAGGGGGGTGGGGCTACGTGGTGGGCAGGAGTGGTAACAGCGCAGTAGTGGGAGGCAGAAACGTGACAGCATGCTGCAACCATCCTGTTGAGCCGAACTTGGAATCGGCTGACGTGTGTGTGCAGCAACACCCTTCACACCGTGGCCGAGATGATGACTCCTCGCCTGGTATACGGGGAGGTCGTGGTTTCGCTCCAGACGCCTGCTATGTATTTTGAGTTTGCTCTGCCCTCTGCCCGTGACCGCGTGGATTTTTTTTCTCCACATCCTCCCGTTCTTCCCTCCACGCGTAGAAATTAACATCGACGTGCCCTTGTCACTGCGTTTGGCCGCGATAGATGTCCACCTCGATAAGCCACTTCGTTGGGCTATCATTTGTGGCCAGGTCCCTCTTTGAAAGAGAGCGATGCAGCTCGGTCGGCCTTACCTGGTGAAAAAAAAACAACCAAACAGCTTATAGTTGAATAGTTTACGGTTTGTTTAAAGCCGTCCGAGCTGCATGCAACCGCGCCGCCACACGCGCGCGCAGGGTAAGAGGGGCCGCATGCCACGTCGATGATGACTCGCTGCTGGGTGTGAGTGAGGCGTAAGGAGTGAGTGAGGCGTGTTGTGTGAGGCATGCGCTGTGCGCGCTCTCTCGGCTTGCCCTGCAGTCTGTGCGCGTGGCTTGCCGCACGCCGCTTTGCTCGACCACGTGCCCCTGCCACGCCATCGTAGTCGCGTTCACGACGACACCCTGCTGCCATTACAGCTGTTTATGATCCACAATAACGTTTCGTAGCTTTTTCAACTTGCCTTCCACGTTTTCTTTTAATCTGTTGCACATGACACGCGTTCTCTCATTCCGGAACGCATCCGAGTGATTTGGCTCGGCTGATTTTGTTCCGCCGTTAGTAATTTCGCCACGTATTTTGCCTTTCCTTCCTTATTTTTTTCATATATCTGGACGGTGGGGGAGGGGGGAGACGCGACGGCGTTTATATAAACGACTGCTTGTGCGTCAACCTGCACGCGCGTCGCGCCCCTTCAAATTACTTTTCACCCGCCACTATAATATGGAATTTCCACCATTTACTCGGGGGGGGGGGCGGGGTTCCTCCAGTGAAGAGGAGTACACCCCCCCCAACCCCCCATGCTCATTTGCGCGGGGAAGACCCCTCAAACATTCTGTTACTTAAGGCCAGAGTCCGTACTTTGTACCGTGCAAGTCACGTGACGCTAAACAATGCCCACGCGGTGCACCCTGGGAGTTGTTGTCCAGCGGGTGGCCTGAATGGCCCCTCCGGTGCCAGGGGGACCCTTTTGGTGCCTCAACGTTGAGAATGGTTTCCCTTGGCTTTTAACAAGCACTGGCTTTCCAAATCCCCTGGGTGTTGGGCACCTGACTGGGCACAAACATATATATCTCTCCGCAGTGAAAGGACACTCGTTAAATTGCGAGGCACGTGCCAATGAGGGGGGAGGGGGCGGTGCCCACATTATGGCCGGGTTTAATTGATGGCGGTAAACGTTGAAGCACCATGTACTTAGGACTTAAGTCATGGGAGCTGTCTGCAATGTGCGTGCAGTGGACTGCTGATGTGGGCTCAATTTAGCATTATTTACTTTGGCTCGGCCACAACCTTTGCAACTACTTTGTGGGGTTTATTTTCATTCTCCCCCGTTCCTCCTCCGTGCACATGTTTTTCCGGGAGTTGCAGTAATGTCACCCTATCGCATGATTTTATTTGCTCGCTCTGTTTGCACGGCGGGTTTATCTCTCTCCACGGCCGTGTGGTGTCCTCCCATTTGCTTGCGAAAGAATGGACCGTTCAATAGATTTCTGGCAAAGTTCAAATATGACTTCGTTGCAGTTGGGAATTAAAGCATTACAAATACACACTACGTGCATTGAAACGTACACTTCATCACCAATTATACTCCGCTTTACTGTTGCGAGCCATGGTCATGAGGTGGGGAGAAGCGTCCTGCGGAATGTTAGAACGCGGGTCTTCCTGTAAACGTGGAACGTTGTTGGTCCAATGCCGGTCCGACGTTGGCCTGGTGTTGGTCCAATGTTGGCCCGGCGTTGGCCCAACGTGGACCGACATTGGACCGGCGTTGGTCCAACGTTGGACTGGCGTTGGACCGGCGTTGGTCCGACGTTGGCTCCACGTTGGCATGATCTTGGCTTGGCGTTGGTCCGACGATTCCAACCACATGCGCCCACCATTGGCGTGTTTACTGGGCGACCGTCTGAACCACTGAAGCTGATGCAGCTACCGTTATGCTATTTTTTTATCTTCCGCTGTATCACGCAGCTGCCGATCATGTAGTGTTTGACGTAGGCTAAACATTTCCCATGGGATGACCCTTGTGACACGTTTTTTTTACTTAGACGTGAACGCTTTACCCTGGTGGGCTTTCTTCATTGCAGGGCGATTTCCAATTATTTGATCAACGCTGGGGCAGAATCTTGGAACTCCCCGGAAAATAGCGTGGTGGGGGGGGGGGGGGGGGGACGACACCCTTCATGGCAGCCGTGGCACCATACAGTGTCGCATATTGTTTATGACTGTCCTCTAAGTTCAGCGAAGGTCTCTAGGAGAACCACACATGGCCACCGAGGATGCTACCGCATGCGTCAGGAATTGCACGTTCTCCCCCGTTGGTGGCGTGGATTTTTCTCCGGGGGGTCCTCCGATTTTTCTCCTCCACGTATCGAATCAACGTGGGTTCAGAGTAGTTTGGCTGCTGTACATGTCCACGTGATACGTCATTTTGTTGAGCTACCTTCTGTGATAGCCAAGGCGCTTCTAAAAAATCTGTACTATATTACTCCGTGCGGCCTTACTCGGTAAAATAAAAAAATAGTTTAGTTTACTTGCCCGCTTAATGAACACTTAATCATTGGCGGTGTGGGGGACTCGCTCACAGGGGGGACCCCCCTTACCCCGTCTACAAATGATAGCTCAACGATGTGGCTCATCGACACGTCTACATTTATAATAGCCAAATATGCTAAACGCATGTTGATTCTAAATTTGGAGGGGAAAAAAAACATCCACACAACCATGGGGAGTGAGACACGCAAACTCCACGTATACAGGCGTCAGGGTCGGGACAGAACCCACGACTTCCTCTATACCAGGCGACGTCGTGAACATCTCCTCGCCACCGCGGTTGACCACCAAATACCACGACTCCCGGCGGGCGTTAAGTTTAAATCACGGTCCCCAAATGCCAGCACCCTGGGGTTTCACCTGCCAAGACGCGCGTGGAGTTGTCTGGATAGGTGAGGGAACAGTGATGGCTAAGAATCATTGGGGACGCCTTTAAGATTGTTCAATGATTATCGGTGTACACCCAGTAAACATGCAACCTTGAACCTTGCCCCTTTATCAATAGCTTTGAGGTGCATCGTTTTTAAGGGACTGCGTGTGGCCTCGGTGCCGTCTGGCACTGTTTTGTTGTTTTGTTGCCTTGCCAAAGCTTAAATTTTTAGTGCTCCCAAATCGGCAGGGACTTATGTGCTTGTGAAATGTGTACGTCTGTGCTTAATATATAATCGATGTATTCCTCCGACTTGCTAACTTTTTCTCTATCTTTGCCCTCGTATCGTCTTTTGCATCTTTTGTAAATCGCTGACCCCGTGCCTCGAATGTACATCTGTAGAAAAGAGCTTTTCGGTTTATCGGATTCCCCCGGGATGAATAAAAAAAAATCCCGATTCCGAACATTGGGCCATCGTTTGGCATGTCGTTTGGAAGCGTTGACCCAAAGTTCCATGTTTTCTGGGTCACGTTGCTTACAAAGGGGACCCGTTTTTGTGTCAACTGTTTGGCGATTGATGTCGAGAAACAGGTTCTATAATTCACGTTGAATAAATATTGCTAGCCATCATTTTGGCCCAAGACTTGCATTCCCTCAGCTCGGCGAGTATTTAAAATTGTCCCTGTTCGACATCCAGAATTGCGCATTTAAATCCGCAATTAACGTGTATAGGCACCACGTGCCCGTTTAGTAATTCGAATGTCCAAAAAAAATGGGAAGACCGCACGTTTAAAATCCTGCTCCGGTGTCGACTCAGCTCACTTTCACTCCGTGGGCAAATAACAGTGGGCACCGTCGTTATTTTAGAATCCAACAGTGGTTGCTCTAAATTGACCTTGGCCACAGAAAGATGAGGACTTTCCATGACTGGCCCAGTTCTTGCACGCAGATTAACACCATCGACCCACGCTTATTTGAGCAGGGAGGCATTTTGATTTGACTTGGGCTTTTGACAGCGCATATGGGAGAACTGCGCAAAGCCTAAAATAACAAAACGCATGACTGGTTTGCGGAGCTGGTTCGTAATTCTTTTGACATGGCGCAGATCCGGCACTGCCAAGACCACGTGTCCAAATCCGGGTTTCGGCAACCCACGATTCAACCCATTTCTACGGTCTCAGCCTCGTCACCAGCGACTGGGCGTAAAACAACCATTGGTGTCACGTGTTGTTTCACTTTGTTTGGCATGTGCCGACTATGAAGATGGACAGATTTGGATTGCCACACAATGAACAACACCGTTTTGGAAAGAATGCTGTTGAAGTGGCTTCCAATGTTGCTGTAAAACAAACAATTTTAACGTTTTTTTTATTTTACCAGGTAAGGCCCCACTGAGCTATACAGCTTTTTTTCAGAAGCGACCTGGCAACAGATGATAGCTCAACGAAGTGGCTTATTGTGTAGAAATATATATTGCAGCCAAATACTCGAATGCGCGCGTGTCTGAATTTGGAGGGAAAAACTGGAGGACACGAAGAAAAATCCACGACCGCAGGGAGAACATGCAAACTCCAAATACACAGGTGTCAGGGTCAGGATCGAATCCACGACCTCCTGTATACCAGGCGAGGGAATTAACATCTCACCACTGTGGCGCCGCCCTGTGATGCCATGTCCCAAGGCCTGCAACGATGCGCGAGTTTCAAACGGCATTTGCGGTCACATGGCGGAGCGGCATCGGTAGCGTGGTGCCAAAATATAATTGGTGTTAAACAAAAACTCGAGAAAAGAGCAAAGCAAAAGCAGCCGCTTGTGCAAGTATGGGGTAATTATCCTCATTGGACCATCACTCGTCACACAATGGCCTACTACTCTTTCTTCTCTCTGAAATAACAGCAGGGCGACCTTTTTTGCACGCGTACACGTGTCAAATTAAAGGAGGCGTGCGCTCATTTGATGATGTCCTCCGCACGCCGCATTAACCGTGAGGCTGACGTCACGTTAAAACTCTCTAATCTCTCCCAAGACCACACAAGCCGCCACACGCACGCTTTAAATTAATCATGACGGCCTCTTTGATCGGGACACGGGGCGGCCTATGTGGAACTGATTGGGCCGGTGTCTGTGCTGTGCAACAAATATCGGAGCATTCGTTGGCGGCTTGGCTCTTTCATTCGGCGAGTTTACAACTCTGGGACGCTAATCGTGCGGCTTGAGGACGACGTAAGAGGTTTGGTGCCAGAAAGATTGTGGCACTACGACGTGAGCGTATTGGTACAAGACAGAGAGGAGAGTGGAAACAAACGAGGAAATTCGCAGTGGGACACCTGCGGGTGCTATCTGCCCATGGATCGTGATTGATGGCGATGATTATCGTTGGCAGCGGTGTAGGAATGTGCCGTGAAGCAACGCGCATCATGGTGATTCAAGCAGACGGCAGATTCTCTCTTCGTGGCTGGGAAATGGCCCTTTGAATGCGACGCCTCGGAGCCACTCAATCGCTGTCGCGCACTGCGGAGTCAAATGTTGTGTTGTCCAGCGTTGGCTCACGTGCGCGTGGGTTCTTCGGACATACTGGTTTATTAAGCCAGATGCAGGGCAAACGTAAACAAAATGGAATCGCCCCCACATGCCAAACAGCACCCAGGAAATATGGAATTCCCACTGTCAGAGGACATTAAATCATGTTGTGTTGTCCTCTGCATCCTTTACACCGGACGTGTGCCGAATTTGATAACGTTCATGCCACGTGGTTTTCTTTGTGTTTATGTATATATGTACGCTGAACTTATTTCGCACCGTATGTAGGCTCGCCGTGGGTAATCGGCCGTGCTGGGGGGAGGGGGGGGAAGGAGGACAACAAACTGACACACAAAAAGCACTTGCTAAAGAAATTAGTTTTCAATTTGCCCCAGGGCAATTACAATGCAGACTCTTAATTATGCAGTTGAGTGGTGAAGGATGAACATCGCTTCCTTATATAACACATCTCACAACGTTATTCAGTCAATAAAATACAAAACTACGACTGTGTGAGTCATGGTACAAATGCAATGAGGTGTACGGTGTTGTTACAACACACAAATATACGCGCAACTCATTCAATATATCCAAGTGCGAGACAAGCTTATACACCGTCTGCCAAATGTTGGTCACGTGGCAAATGTGACTTGCAGGACTTTTAAAAACGAGGTAAGCATAAAGGTACGAAGGAGTAAGCGATAGCAGTTACTTGTAAATACAACTGCTCTTCCAGACACCTCCCGGAGATGGTGACAATGCAATGGCGAGAGGCTTGCACATTGAAGGTGATGGTCGCAGCGCGAACGTCGATGTGAAGACAAAAAGACGAAGATTCCCCCCGCCCCGCCCAGCTTTAACAGACTGTTGGGGCAAGTGCTGTTAGCGAGCAGCACCAATGACCGCCGGCACTGTGGCACACGAGAGGGGGTGGGTGGCCAGCACCAAATTAGGCAGCTGGGAGTAATAATAACGCGGAGTGGTTTGTTGTATTAAAACATATATATATAAATATATACACAACGCCGGGCCAACGTTGAACCAACGCCGGGCCAACGCCGGGTCAATACCGGGTCAATACCGGGCCAACGTTGAACCAACGCCTGCCTTGACAGACTGTTTGGGCAAGTGCTGTTAGCGAGGCCGGCACGCCACGCGAAGGGGTGGGTGGCCAGCACCACGCCCGACCGCCTTCGTCTGCGCAGTGGCGATGTTTACACATCGCACCAGGTACTCGTTTGAGGCTGATTCGACGTCGGGCAGGCCCAGGATCCATTCGGATCACTGGTTTTGACCGTGAGCGTGAATCGAACTCGATTCGCCTGTCTTTCGCAGCGCAGCACTCTAGCCACCAATAAAGATATGATCACATGCAGACGCACAATTAAGTCGTATACATCTGTCATGTCACGCAATTGCCGGCGGGTATTATTGATCTTGATGGAATGTCAAAGGAAAGATCGAATTTTGTTTTAGATTTGGTGAAAAAGTACACCCTTTAATTTTACATTTAGTTGGATTTGACATCGGTGTTGATGAGATTGGAACCAAGTAAAAAAAAACCACAGAACCGCATAATGATTTTCTTTCTTTAAAATTGGGAAATGTAATCAATGGGATTTTTTAAATGATAATGACATTAGACTGTGAAGGTTAATTTGCTTCAAAGTTACAATTGATTATTATCAAATAATTGAATACGTAGGTAACGTTAAACGTCTTGTGTGTTTTTTTATAATATATATTTTTTAAAGTGCTCCCGAAATTATTCCGTTCTTCAATTTAATCCTTTTAACTTTTCCCGGTGACTTTGACAAAGTTGTGGTGATAGCCTATTTGCTCAAATCTCTTTCCGCCAAGAAACACTTTGTGCGCGAGGTGAATTCGTTAATTAATATCATCGCTGTGAGTAGTGCCCCCCGTGATTGGTTGCCATGGCACGAAGCAATAGAAGATATCGTTATAATAATAATTAGAAGCTGTTGGGCCCTGGTAAGTTACGGCAACACTTACCCTTAAACCTCGTGGAAGATTGT